TTTGAGACAGAGTTTCGCTCTTGTTACCCAGGCTGGAGTGCAATGGCACGATCTCGGCTCACCGCAACCTCCGCCTCCTGGGTTCAGGCAATTCTCCTGCCTCAGCCTCCTGAGTAGCTGGGATTACAGGCATGCATCACCATGCCCAGCTAATTTTTTGTAGTTTTAGTAGAGGCGGGGTTTCACCATGTTGACCAGGATGGTCTCGATCTCTTGACCTCGTGATCCACCCACCTCGGCCTCCCAAAGTGCTGGGATTACAGGCTTGAGCCACCGCGCCCGGCCCCGACTCTAATCTTACTGGGCTGATGTGGACACTGCTGTGGGGCAGGGGATGCCTGCCCTGCTCACCTGCTCACATGGCTCTGCCACTTTTCCCTTCCAGGAGGGCATCCTGGCCATTTCACCTGTGGACTTGAACTTGCCATTGGACTGAGCTCTTACGCAGACGCTACTACAAGATTACACCTCATGTCCCTTCCCTCTGCCTGTGCTTTTCCAAGCCTTCCTGTTCCACTCAGGACTGTGGGGTGGTGGTTGCCATACCTGTTTTTGCCAAAAATAAATTGTTTAAAACTTTTCGTATTAAAAGCTTTACAAAGTATTCAATTGTCTGTTCTTTCACTTGAGAACTGAAGTTCTAAGTAGAGGAGATTTGGTTCAGAGATTTCTGTGGCTTACACAAATTGAGGAAGGAACCAGTTCATTCATTCTAGAAATATTTATTTGGGGCACCTACAAGAGTCTGTCTCCTGGACATGTATTTGAGAGAATATCTGTAAATATTCCAACAATTTGGATTTTTTTCTCCTATTGCACGATCTGGTTGTTCTAGCTAATGCTATTTGATGGTCATGGAGTCTTTCCAGTGATTTCCACAGGAAGGTATAGTCTAATTTCACCCATGTCTAGGACACCACCCTCTTCTTGTTTTTCTCCTCCCATTTCTCCTTTTGAGTCTTTTTTGCTGATTTCTTATCTACCTACAGACCAGTGGTTTGTCTCACAAACCCCCCCTAAGCCGCCCCCTTTTTTTTGAGATAGAGTCTTGCTCTGTTTCTTAGACTGAAATACAGTAGCACTACCATGGCATACTGCAGCCTCAACTTCCTGGGCTCAAGTGATCCTCCCACTTCAGGCTTTCTAGTAGCTAGTATAAAGGCATGTGACACCATACTAATTTTTAAAAAAGAATTTTTGTGGGAGGCCACGGCAGGTGGATCACTTGAGGTCAGGAGTTTTAGACCAGCTTGGCCAACATAGTGAAACCCTGTCTCTCCTAAAAATAAAAAAATTAGCTGGGCATGATGGTGAGTGCCTGTAATCCCAGCTACTGGGGAGGCTGAGATTACGAGACTCACTTGAACCCAAGAGGTAGAGACTGCAGTTAGCCGAGATCATGCCACTGCACTCCAGCATGGGCAACACAGCAAGACTCCATTTCAAAAACAAAATTGTAGAAATGGGTCTCACTATGTTGCCCAGGCTGGTCTACACCTCCTGGGCTCAAGTGATCCTCCCATCTTGGCCTCCCAAAGTGCTGGGATCACAGGCATGAGTCACTGTGCCTGGCCGTGACTCATTTTTTAAAAAATTATTATAAAAAAATAATTTAAAAAAAGACAAAGAGCCACTTTGTCTCTCTTTTTTTAATTATTATTTTTTAATAGAAGTGGGGTTTCTCCATGTTGGTCAGGCTGGTCTCGAACTCCCGACCTCGGGTGATCTGCCCGCCTCGGCCTCCCAAAGTGCTGGGATTACAGGCATGAGCTACTGCGCCCGGCCTGGTCTGTCTCCTTTTTAGGCTATATCCCACTTCACAGAGTAATGTTTGTAAATGCGTAAAGTGAAATGTACAGGATTACAAACCGAACCAATTACAGTCCATCCTCAGTATTTGTAGATTCCGTATTTGCAAATTTGCCTCCTTGCTAAGACATACTGATATCCCCCAAAATGAAGGCAGTGCTTTTGTGGTGTTTCGGAGGGCATGGTTGTGCACAGAGCTGCAAAAATCTGAATACCTGATGTGCGCATTTCCAGCTGGGCTCCTCTTGTTTCAGCTAAAATAGGGTAAACAAGTGTCCTTTTCTTGGTCTCTTTGGTGCCACGTTTTTCAATTTTTAAAATTAATTATTCATTTTATGAGACAGAATATTGCTCTGTCGCCCAGGCTGGAGTGCAATGGCCTAGCTCGGCTCACTGCAACCTCCGCCTCCTGGATCCAAGCGATTCTCCTGCTTCACCCTCCGGAGTAGATGGGATTAGAGGCGTGCGCCACCACTCTTGGCTAATTTTTGTATTTTTTTTTTTTTTTTGAGACGGAGTTTCACTCATGTTACCCAGGCTGGAGTGCAATGGCGCGATCTCGGCTCACCGCAACCTCCACCTCCTGGGTTCAGGCAATTCTCCTGCCTCAGCCTCCTGAGTAGCTGGGATTACAGGCACGCGCCACCATGCCCAGCTAATTTTTTGTATTTTTAGTAGAGACGGGGTTTCACCATGTTGACCAGGATGGTCTCGATCTCTTGACCTCGTGATCCACCCGCCTCGGCCTCCCAAAGTGCTGGGATTACAGGCTTGAGCCACCGCGCCCGGCCTAATTTTTGTATTTTTAATAGAGGCGGGGTTTCACTATGTTGCCCAGGTTGGTCTTCAACACCTTCTCTCAAGTCATCCGCTCGCCTGGGCCTTCCAAAGTGCCGGGATGCCACCGCGCCCGAAGCCTATTGAAAATTTTGAAGTCTCAGGCGTTTGCCAGCGGCACACCAGGGAGTACAGCCTGCGCCGAGACCCAGAGACCAAAGAGCAAGTTCATTTCGGGACTGGAGAAAGGTGTGAACGGAGGGAAGTAGAGGGATCGCAGAGAGGAGGGGCAGGATCCACGCATTCGGCCCTTTGCATTCAGCTTCATTCAACTAGGAACCTTTCCTGCAGATCAAGGAAAGCTTCCCGGAGGAGGTGGTGTCTAAACTGACTGCGCCCTAATTGACATTGAGAAGCTGGCCAAAGAGAGGTGGGAGTTCCTGGCAGCGGTACGGACTTGGCAACAACCAAGGGTCTCCAGAGGGGTCGATGAGCTTAAAAAACTGGGAATGGGCCTGGTGTGGTGGCTCACGCCTGTAATCTCAGCACTTTGGGAGGCCGAGGCGGGTGAATCACGAGGTCAGGAGTTCAAGACAAGCCTGGCCAAGAAAGACAGTGGAACCCCGTCTCTACTGAAAATACAAAAATTAGCAGGGTGTGGTGGTACGCGCCTGTAGTTCCAGCTACTCGGGAGGCTGAGGCCGGAGAATAGCTTGAACCTGGAAGGCGGAGACAGCAGTGAGCTGAGATCGCACCACTGCATTCCAGTCTGAGCGACAGAGCAAGAGTCTATCTCAAAAAAACGAAAAACAGGCCGGGCGCGGTGGCTCAAGCCTGTAATCCCAGCACTTTGGGAGGCCGAGGTGGGTGGATCACCAGGTCAAGAGATCGAGACCATCCTGGCCAACATGGTGAAACCCCTCTCTACTAAAAATACAAAAATTAGCTGGGTGTGGTGGCGTGCGCCTGTAGTCCCAGCTAGTTGGGAGGCTGAGGCAGGAGAATTGCTTGAACCCGGGAGGTGGAGGTTGCAGTGAGCCGAGATTGTGCCACTGCACTCCAGCCTGGCGCCTGGCGATAGAGTGAGACTCTGTCTCAAAAAAAAAAAACAAAACGAAAAACAAAAAACAAACTTGGAATGATTATGTATGTCAAGGGCTAGGATTTAAGGATTTAATGTGTTGAGGCGGACACCTATTCCTCACTTGCTTAGGGACCCCAGACAGGCCCTTCCTCTCTCTGGGCCTCTCACTTATTCAGTTTTTTCCCCCCAGGTAATGGGCACAAGCCCCCTTTTTCCTCCAGACTCTCCCCGGCCTGGGAAAATCCACCGAGTGGACGAGGAGTGAGAGTTCCTTTGAGCCAATCGCTGGTGCCTGGAACCCCGCCTCCTTCCCTACCCGTGGGCCAATCGTCGTGTTCTCCTTGAGGCCGGCCGCTTAGCGAGGGTGGGCCAAAGGCCGCGTGACGTCATGTCGGGATAAACCAATGGGAGCGATGAGGAGGCGGGCCGTTTTGGTGATGGACAGGCATTTCGAGACGTCCCTTTAGCGCGGGGCTCGCCGGGAAGCTTTGAGGCGGTGCTGTGGGTAAAGGGGCGGGCATTCATGTAGACTTTGCCCAATCACCAGTCGCGCTTTTTGCAATAGACGGGCAGTTTTCCCCATCCCAGGTCGACTTGAGGGGGCGGGACTCTGGGCGCCAGAGTTGGCAAACCCCTGACCTATGATAGACGTCTTCTCTAGCCAATTGCTAGATGGTATTCTCAGACGGGCTGCCTCCTTTGCCAATGAAATCTTCCGGCGGGGTCGCGGTAGGCGGGCCCTAGACCTTCTGGTATAAGGCGGTCCCGGGGGAGTGAGGAGAAAGGGGGGGTCTTGGCGGCCGGAGGTGGAGTAGGTGCGGGTGAAGATGGCGGCAGCCGAGGCCGCGAACTGCATCATGGAGGTTAGCGCTTGGAGCGCCGCCTTGGGCGGGGGGCGGCTTTGGGTCGGTGTTTCACAGCTCTGTGGTGGGGAAAGGGGTCTAAGTCGGCGACAGGAGGTTAGAGGTCGCCCGCCGCACATGGGGTCACCCCACGCTCCGCATCCGGGGATATCGTTTTAAGTGGCGGTTCCCTAGCTTTCAAGGGCCTTCGGCATCCGGCCTAGCGGAGGGTCTCATCCCCCCCTCCCACGTGGAGGAGGGCTGGGGGCGCTTCCGGCCAGGCCCCCACGTGGCCGCGGCGCGGTGGGTGGGGAGGGGGTGTGCCGAGTCCGGTGGCCGGGCGGGCTCCACGTGCGGGACAAAGGCCCCGCCCCCGGCCGGGGAGGGGCGCCCGGGGGGGCGGAGAGGGGGTCCAACCCTCCCTCTGAGGCCACCAGCTCTCCTCCCCTGGGACGCGGGCACACGCCTTGGGGTGGGATCGATCTGGGGCCCTCCACGATGTAGGGAGTCTCTGGGGAGGGGCAGTGCTTCTCAGCCCTTTACAACCACCTTCCGAGCTCCGGGGACATCTGTTGGGACAGCGGACCCGGTTTTGTGCGTTCTGGGTTAGGGACTGGAGGAAGACTAAGAATAGGGTCCTCCGGACCCCGCTTCCCGTCGCAGAATTCTCCCCCTAGCCCAGGGCTTTAGGAGTTGGGGGATGGGGCATGCCCCTGTGACCTCCCTCTGGGTGATGGTGGGGCATCTAGGTGGAGATTTTCCCATTAATAGGCGCCGTGCACCCCCTTGTGGCCATTTCTGGGTGTGTGGGAGGGATATCTTTTTCATGGGGCGTGTCCCGAAGCCCACCTACCGTCGGATTTCTTCCGGGCGGGGGAGGGAGGAAGGTATGTCTGCTGGGAATGAGTTGTGGTGGGAAATACGTAGGCTGAGAGCTTTATCCTCTTCTGGAGCCCTTTATCTCCCCCGGGCCTTTGTGAGGGCGGGAGATGACCCCCCAGGGGGTCCTGAACCCCAGGGTCCTGAGGCTGGGTGCCTGAAAGGGTTTCGAATGAGGTTTCCGTTCTCGTGCAGCCATGTGGGGAAGGTTTC